TCTTGTCAAAATAGGGCTGTTTCTGTGTAGGAAAATAAATACTGCTCATCAAAAATTTATAGGAAAAATTAGGCTGGGTACAGTGGCTCTCACCTGTAATTCCAGCACTTCAAGAGGCTGAGGCGGGTGGATTGCGTGAGACCAAGAGACTAGCATGGGCAACATAGTAAGACCCTATTTCTACAAAAAATTAAATTTAATTAAAAAAAATTAGCCAGATGTGTTAATGCTTGCCTATAGCCACAGCTACTCAGGAGTCTGAGGATTGCCTGAGCTTTGGAGTTTGCTACACACTCCAGCCTGGGCAACGGAGGAAGACTCTGTCTCTTAAAAAAAAAAAAAACAGGAAAAACATAAGGGCCACAGTGTTGTAAGAAGGATAAAAGAACAACAGAAGGAGAGGAAAAACTTAGTTTTGATTTGAGATGGTTTAAAGTCATTTAAATTCTTTCAGTCTTAGTTATATCATTATGATTTCTGTGATCTTATATGACATAAAATTTCATTAAACAAGAATTCTTTTGAAACTGATGAACATGGCCAGAATTGGAGGGAGCAATGGGAAATAAAGATCCAGACTTCAAAGTTACAGAAAATTAATAGCAAAGAGTTAAAAGTTTGAACTGACCTAGGCTCAAAATCTGGCTTTACAATATAATAGCAAATGACATTGCAGAAGTTTCTCTGTGCCCATTTCCTCATAAATTGAACTGAAGGTGATAACAAGTATCGAAACTGCAAATGTGGTGAATGTTAAATGTGATGATATGTAATGATTGCTTAATGATGCCTGATAACCAGGAAGGGCTCAAAATGAGGTAGAAAATACAGTCAAATATATCTATTCGTATAAGAGACACAATTTTCTTTTTACTTTTATAAAGTTATATTTTTCCCTTAGATGGGGACAAAACAGGTTTCGAGCATGTTCACAGAAAAAAACACAAGTTAATATATTAATGATTTAGCAAGACACTGTAGACACAACATTTCACAGCAGGAAGGAAGGAAGACCAAGAATTGAGCAAACAAAAGCAGAATATTATTCAGACATGGAACTTGTCAGCGCAATGGCTAAAAATACTGTGGGTTAGGCCAAGAAATCGAGTTATTCTGTGGGCCAGGAACCATGATTTATAAAACACAGCACATCATCCGCCAATGGCTGTTCTGTATTGACCCTGCAGTCTGTCTATTTCCAGAATTACCCTGATTTTCTAGCCTCATTGGGGCTACTGATTGAGCTTTGTGAATGTTTTTCTGTGAGCATCCTGAGTGAGGAACGACTTAGACCACATTGTCACTGCTACCCCAAGCTCAAAAATATGTTCAGGGTTGACAACTTCTATACTTTTGTAGCCCTCTCATGGGTTGACAGAATCCTTCCATCTGCATGCAGTGTTTAACTTAATGTGAGAAAATGAAGGTTTCAGAAAGAAGCAGCAGTGTACTTGAACACAAAACTTTGGACATATTTTATATTCATTTAGGGCCATAATGTTTTCCTAGGACTGTTAGGGGTATCTTCACAGTCACGAGTATAATCTCTGTATCCAGTCCACAAACACTCTGTACTTTTAAAATTGTCAATTTGCTTTAAAAGTCATGTCTTTTGCCTACATCTATCATGTGCCAAGCACTATGTCAGGTACCATGGCTGAAACAAGAAATAAGACATGGTCTCTATACTTGTACAGTACACGGTTTCAACATGTATTGCCACATCCCAAGTTTTGTATTCAATATCTGAAATTAGCCAAATTAGACAATCAACTAAAACTTATTCATACTTTTTATGTGCTGAGTGATTCCTGGCCATGGTGGCAGTCTAGCAGTAAGGCACAGAAAGTGGTGTTTAGAAGGGAAGAGTGACCTAATGATGATAAGTTGAAATGATGGAGACAAATCCCCACCTTCCAGAAGGAAGGTAGATGATGGGGGAGACAGAAGTGGAAGAGGAATGATTCTATGCTGTAATGGTTATAAGTGCTGGTACAACTGGGTAGAATGGAGGAGGTAGGCATGTGTAAGAAACCCACTAGAAAGATACCCTGTGTGTCTATGCGAAGTGGGTGGAGAATGCCTGGATAAGTCTGGAAATTTTATTGGAACATTAGGAGAAGAGATTGGGTACCAAAGTGGAGTCAGATCTCTTTCTCCCATTTCAATGATTATTTTTTAATTTGCAATTAATTGAGTAGACCATGTTTTGTTTTGTTTTTTTTTTCTTTCTGATTTTGCCTTATTCTCCTGGTAAAGTTTGAGTTAAAGTTAGTTAGCATGAGTAAAATCTAGAAGAAATGGCATGAAAGCATGCAAAAATTTTCTGGGCTCAAAATATATCACAGACAATTCTATTCAAAGTGGTGGATTTCATGATCACATTATTCTATAATCATTTGCTGTCCTAGACCAGCGTGTCCGGTCTTCCACCTTGACTTCATGTACTCTCATTCCACACAAACACTCATAGGCATAACGGGGATGTGGTCCCATGTCAGGTCCTAGGAATGTCCCTGGATGAGCCATCCCATGTGGGTACGCACAAAAGAGTTGGGAGGAGAGAAAAGTCCTGCCTTTTCGGTAAAAGGCACATTTGATCTTTCACAACTACCACAGAGAAGAAGGCAGGTTTCCTGGAAGAAGCACATGGGAGGGAAAAGGAAAATTAGAAGGCTTCATCTGAGAAATTGAGGCTAAGCTTGAATTCCTAATTGCCAGAGGCCTTTTCCAAGAAGCATGTCTGTCTGTGGTGTACCAGCCTTCAGCTGGGTGGCTCCTGGATCATGTCTCTTTCTTCAACCAGGCTGATGGCACCAGCACCCGTAGCTTCCTTCCAGGAATGCATAGCCCATCCTCTCTGGTTTTCTCTTGAGTTGGTCTGGCCCTACTTAAGAGGAAAATAATTGGTGTTCTTTCCTCCTGTGTCGGGCAGTGATTTCCTTTCGAGCCACCCCTTACATCAGGACCAGCCCTCTCTAAAATTATGCAGTAGACAGTTTGCTTTTCAGCATTTATTTTTCCTCTTTTTTTCTGGTGGCCATCAGCCACGTTAGCCTTCTCCCATTGGCCCAAACATTCAGGACTATTGTGTTTTCTTAGGACTGTCAGGGATAGCTTCACAGTCATGACTATGGTACCTGAATCCAGCTCACAAACACTCCTTCCTTTTAAAATTGTCGATTTATTTTAAAAGTTACCAGTCTTTTGCCTCATTCTACTATGTGCCAAACACTATGCCAGGTGCCATGGCTACAACAACAAATAAGACATGATCTCTACACTTGTGTAACACACAGTTTCATGAGACGGATGGGCAAGAATATCCAGCATCACAACAAAGCTCCAAAGGCATGAGACAGCATAAAACATTGGCAGAAATGTCACTATGGCAGAGCATGGATAGCTCCTAAAGACATGAGAGGATTGTTCTGGAAAGGCCATTAAGGAAGCATCCTGTACAGATAGGGATATGTCTAAGCTTTATTCCAAGGGCTGTTGGAGACCTCAAAGAAAGATATGCAAGAAGATGATGAGATCAGATTTGCAGTTTAGCAAATTCTCTTTAAAGCGTAGTCAGGAGACAAGACCACTTGATTCATATCAGAAATCCAGATGAGGAATTGGGTCACCTAGACTGAAGTAGAGAGGAGAGGACAGATTTGAGAGAGATTTAGAAAACAGGCATTGCCTGTAGTGGTGATTTCTTATGCCAAAGTTTGGGGAGATGGTCAAAGAGTTAGAGGAGTCTAGAATGGCTCTAAGGATTATGACGAAGGTGAGGGCATGGTGGTGTCTTCCCAGAGACATGGTGTGCACTAAATGGAATTGATTGAAGGCTCTTATTTTGATAGTAGTGGGTATAGATAGGGCTTAACTCAAAGTCCCAAATTTATTAATCACTTCATATATTACTTTCTTATCAAAATGGCATCAAATTGATTTCATTAAGTTAAAATACCTTTTTTATACCGTTAAAGAATTTTTATAATGCTGGCAGTTTTAGAGACCTTGAAAAATCAATTGAAGAAATGTTCTTTCATTAGTTGGGTGCTGGGGTGGAGCAGAGTGTGGAGCTGCCTGGAACAATTTGCATAATCTTGGTCTCTGGCCATTAGGTTTTGATGTGACCCTCACCCTCCCTGCACACTTATTTTTTCTCTCACTATTTTCCTCCAATTTCTTTCCCCTCCAGCCTTGAATTTGTTATTTTATTCTTTCCTCTTCCAGCATTGCCAAACTCTCCTCTCTACTCAATGTGCTCTGGCTATAGCACAACCTCCCAGCTTTGTTTATTTGTAAAATAAAAAAAAAGGAATGCGCACTTCTTCATGGATGGAAGATTCAGTGAGAATCACCACTGCTACCACAGAAGACATTTAGGGTAACAGGTAGTTGCTGAACCAAGTTAGAATTACCATACCCCTACTATTTCCCAGGCAGATAAGCTCAATAGTGTTGACAAAGCTAGGGCAAGAGGACACTTAGGAAATAAAAAAGCCTTTTATATGTTAGAAAAACTTTGTGTCCCTTGATTCTTTTATTTCTGTCAAAGCAACTCTTAAATACTCATTTTTCTTTCTCTCCTATTTCTTTGATCTGTGGGAAGTATGTAAAAGCCTTGAATTCCCAAATATCCTACTCCCACAAGATATATATATATATTTCCTTCAGGGGATCTTTTGAAATGCCTAAACAAATTTATTTTCTTACACATTTGGAAAAACCTGGTTTTAGGACCAGGCAAATTCAGTAGGAGACTTACTTCCAATGGCACCAAAATTTTCTTAAACAAATTCTGAGAAAATTGCCTTCATTCAGGAAGTAAACTAAAAGATGTCCATCACCAACACCTGAGGAAACTACCCAAGTCCTTGACCTTCCCTAAAATTTCTGTTGTGGCAGCTCCTGAGTCTCTGATTCTGAGAGCTGCCTGATTCTTGAATTGTTCTTTGCTCAATTAAACTCTGTTAATTTGTCTAATGCTTTTCTTCTTGCAGAAGATGTCAGAGTGGGATCTGCTGTAGGCTCCCAGCAGCCCCCAGGAGTACCAAGTGAGATACCTACTGGGTCCACTGTGTCCACTGTCCTTGGTAGCCCCGGAGGATCATGGGTAAGTTCTTTGATTCCAAAGCTGCATGGATTTGTGTTTTGAGCTTTCCAAGTTTGAGCGAATTTTGGATCCAAACTGGGTTCAGAAGTCATGACGGAAACCGGACTGGGTCCATGATTATACTGGATCTGATAATTAACCAGATTGGGTCCAGTTAGAGGCCTCAGAGCCTGATTGTATCAAACAGAAACTGGAAGTAAATGGCAATACTATAAGGGCTGAGAACTCTGGCTTTAGGAAATTCATGGAATTTTTGTGTTCTATCCTTTGTATTTTTTTCTTATGTGCTTAGGTAGGGAAAATCATTGGTTAAGTTGATCAAAGGTATCAGAGGATCAAAGTCCAGATTCAACAGAAAAATGGGACCCCTTAATTTCTGAAAAATGGAATATTCTACCTTCTGGCTATGCCTGCATTCACATGTATATGCTAGGCCCTGGAAGCAGCAAACACTTAGAAAAATGGCAAAATCTTAATAAAGGTAGTTTTAAATTGCAGGGGAGCATTCCCAATGAATAACACTGTATTTTAGGAAGTACATTTAAAAGTGAGGGCTCCTGAATTAGGCTCACTCTAAGATGTCAGGGAAAAGAGATAGCAATAGACTCTTCTCAGGCATTATAGAAGGAATAGCAATGAATGTGAATAGAAAAATGTTCAATAAACAATGTGGAACCAGAAATCTTGAAAGTTTTGTAGCTTAAATATAACAGCCAGACAAATACTTTCACCATTCATATGATCAGATATCTAGCTGCCTAGTGCCCTTCATCGTGTGGTGGGAAGAACATATCCACTTGTTATGCAGTGGACCTAGGAAGTGGTTTCAGATTGGTTTTGGCATCTTTGAGATGGTTTTGGATAATATTCTGTTATGAAAGCTAAATACAAGTTATGATTGCATGCTATAAGAACAGCCTGAATTCATTGGCTGTTCAGTCCCCTAAACCCACACTGAAATCCTGCAGGGCAATTGATGTCAGAGACAATTTAGAAAGAAAAGGATAGCGTTAGCTACTGAAAAGTATGGAAATGGCTTTGGGTCTCAATTCTGCTGATGAACAACACAATTGCTATGATAACTGACAATGCTCAGTTCAGCTTGGCAGAGACACAGACCTTGGATGACTTTCTCCAAGTAGCATGCCAGGACCCCCCCCCCCCGCAAAATCAAATGACATAATAGGGGTAAGCATAGGAGAGAGAGGTCACAAGACATTACTCCAGTGGAGTTAAAAGTCAGTAGAGATTCTGTTTGCTCACTCCAATTTTCTAGCTGAGACTGAAGACCAATGAATTCATCAAATGTTTTATAAAATAATAAAATTTGGTTACCAATTAATACCTGACAATTGAGTTGGAGAAAGAAAAAGACATATTTATGTAAAAGAAAATTTTGTAGAAATTCTTTGTTCTTCTTAAATTTTATCAAAATTACCACCACAATAAAAGAATAAGACTTGTTTTCTTGAGAGCAGTGACTATCTATTTTCAGCCTTGTATTCTCAGCACCCAGGACAGTTTCTGGCATAGAGTACGTGCTCAATAAGTGTCTGTGAGTGCAGTGAATATGTGGTCAAGTGGCTACATTTATACACAGACACCCACATATCACATTCACAATATTCACATGATAATACCTACACTAATATAAACTTGGTCTACTCCTTATTTATGACCAAAAATTAGCAAAGTTTCTCTGTAAGAGTCCAGATATCAAATATCTTAAGCATCTCAAGATAAAAGATAAAATTGAGAATATTATGTAGGTGATTAGATAGCAAATATATAGCAAAAACAAAGATTTTTATTGATGAACCTCAAAATATAATAATAATCACATACCCATTTCTGTAATAGGATAAGAATAGAACTTTTTGAGGAGAATAACATTTAATTCCAGTTTAAACTGATCAAAAATTTTTTTTCTTGCAAATGTTATCTGTTAATGCTGATTTGTAATGAAATTTTAATTATTTTATTTAGAATTTTAATTTTATATAAGATTTGTACATCGTACAATATTATTAGTCATTTAATGTTTTTTCTACCATTTATAACTGTAAAAGTAATTCTTAGCCCTCGGGCCATATAAATGCAGGTGACAGCCGGAATTTAGTCCATTGCCCGCACTTTGCTAATCCCTCATCAATAGCTACTTGGTTATGAAAAGCATTTGATTGGTTGATTGATTGATTTTGAACCTGTCATGTAAATAAATGGAATTAGGAACATTGTATCTAATTATATGATTTGAAATATCTCACATACCAGAAAAGTCCCCATATTTGACAATTTGCTTTGTTTTTAAAACAATGCTTTCATGTGGGAACTGGTCTGAGAGCCACTAAAAAAAATCATCTTGGTAACCTATTGGTTATCCTGATAGCTTTGCCCCTTAACTGAGCATGCTTCTTAGCAAGACTGGGTAGAGTACAAGAACTTCACAAGCACTTTCTCTCCCTGGGATAAAAATACAGGGACAAGGACAGAATCTTAAGGAACTGCCAAGTTCACTAGATGACCAAATTTGAAGCTATTTTTTCATGTTGTCCTTTGGTCGGAAATACTTGAAATGCTTCTGTGTGTTGTAAGATTTGTTCCCCACTGTCACTTCCAGGCTGTCTCTCTTCCTTCCTCCCGCAAAACCCCAGAGTATTTGATGTGCATGTCATAGACTTCATTATCCATTATCCTTCCTTGTTGTTTTCATATCTCTCCCTCCAAATGTCTTCTCCTCATTCATTGTGTTCTCATCACCTGGATTCACCTATGCCACTGTCAATCACTGCATAGGATGGTGCTTAAGGACAGAGAATCTAGAAGCAGACTGATTTGATTAAAACATGTCTCTGTCACTTACTAGCTGTGCTCTGTCTCTTAAATTATGAAATGGGTATAATAATAGTACCTACCTTGTAAGGACATTGTGAGAATTCAATGAGATTTTTTTGAAAAGGTAAGTGCTTAGAGCAGTTCCTGTTATTGAGTGAATACTTAACATGTTAAGAAACTTCACAATTTAAAAGTAAAGTAATACATACATGATACAAATGCAAATAGTACTAACTGGTAACCCTTACCAAATGCTTACTCTATGCTAGACACTGTTGAAAGCATTTTACATAATGAACATTTTTAGATTTCATAACAACCCTATGAATTGGCTTATATTATTATCCTTTCTTTAAAGATGAAGAAACCCAAGACTATAGATGTGCACTACTTTATCCAAGGTTAGCAGCAAATAAGTGATGAATCCAAAAAGTGAATAGTCCATCCCACTTCCTGGTGTCCAAACTATTTTTAGCTCCAACTACCTTTTTCTGCATTCTAGTTCAGCCATCTTGTCATCATCAATAGTTGTAGCACCTTCAAAATTTTAATTCCAACTCTCTTCTCTGACCATCTTTTGCACACCATCGACTTTTTAGTGAATTCCTTTTATATTCCCAAAGAAACATTCTTTGACCTCATTCAAACTTTAAAGGCATTGACCTGACACCTTTTCACCATCTGTCACTGCTAATCAGTTCTTACTTCTCTTTCCCTATGCACTAAATTTTTTCATGGGCTAGTACTGTAACCCTCTTTTAAAAACACCCTTAACTCCTTTTCTTCACGTTCCCTCCATTATGCTACTTATCTGGCAAAACCCCAAACTCAGCCAATGAAATTATTCACTTCTGTGCCAATGCAATAACCATAAAAATACTGCTAAAAATCTTAACTTTACTAGGCTGCCCTATAATATTTCTCAAGAAAATGCACCTCCTTTCTCTCTGAGACTCTTACACATTCTCCTGTCTCCCTGAATTTCAAACATCTCTTATCTGTCTACTCTGTTTTCATAACACTGAGGCTTACTTTAGAAAGAAAAGAAATATAGTTGCATAAGAACTATCAGTTTTTTGCTAACAATTCAATCAGCCTTTCAGCATTTGTACTCAGCTACTGACTTATCCCTTCTCTTAAAAGTTTGCACATATTTCTATTGCAAAGAGAAAACCCTTTATCAGTAACTTAAATCCTTTCCATCTCATTTTCACCAGGAGTTACATCCTGTAACAGTTACATTTCCTACATCATTTTATTTCCGTCTTCAGGATTATTCATATTGGCATAGAAATATACCCCAATATCACCTATCTTAAAAACAAAACTAAAACTAAAACTAACCCAAACTTCTTTGACCCTATATTATTCCCTGGAAACTATTGGATATATCTTTTCCCATTTACATTAATATCCCTTAAAATATAATTTGTGTATACTGTCTCTATTTCCTCACTTCATTTCTCTCTGTGTTTTCTTTAATAGACCTCTAAATCTTACCCTCTACTGAAATTGTCTTTATAAAATTGTAGATAGATGCTATTAGTTATTTATCCCAAAGATATTTTCACTCCCTTTCTTTTCTTCTCCTCCTGCTCTCCTCCTCCCTCTTCTTTTTCATTTTTGTTTTCTTGTATCCTTTCTTTTAGGTGAGACTTTTATAATACTTGGACTTTTCTTCCCTGTGATAAGAAAACATAACCAACCCCCTTCTCAGTCTTTGGGTATAAATTGTAATTGATCATAGTCAAACAGGGTAATTTTTCTTGCCAATCGCTTGCCACCTTTGTTTGAAGAATAATCTAGGCCAGTGAGTATTCAGTGAAAGTCTGTTGGGGCCCTTTTGGGTAGTTTATAATAAAGAGAGAAGGATGGAAAAAAAATCCTTTGTGGGGGATGTGACTATGCCTTCTGAACAATCCTGATGGAAGCGACTGTGCAGGTCGGTGTGCAGAAAGTACCATGAAGCAGAATGTGTTTCTGACAGATCATTCTGGAAAACTCTCATATTAGTCAGAGTAGGAGATTGATGGAATTTGGAATTGATGAGTAATAAGAGACTAGCAAGGCTGATACAGTCATGGTTTCTTAAAGAGCTTCAACTAGTTGGTCTCCAGGATGCTGATTTAAATAATCTTGGTCACTTTTCAAACAATGCTTTTGAT